AGGGATTGCGGGATTGTTGCCGATCTGTCCCGATTGGCAAGATCTTAATCCAGCGTGATGAAGAAACTGCTCAGCCGAAGCTTTCTACGACAAACTCCCAGAGGATATTGCACAACGGTGGGTTATGCTCCTGGACCCAATGTTCGCAACAGGTATGTATTCGGTATCCCGCAGGCTATTGCTGCGCATTGCTTATATGCTACATCAGGCGGCTCTGCCATCATGGCTGTGGAGGTGCTCAAGTCCCGTGGCGTACTGGAGGAACGGATTCTGTTCCTTAACCTAATAGCCAGCCCGGAAGGCGTTAGGGCATTCACCTCCAAGTTTCCTAAGCTTCGTGTTGTAACAGCCTTCGTCGATGAGGTGAGCATGCTACTGAGTCGCATTACGCGCACGACTCTTGCATTTTCAACAGCAATTATGCTAACAACGTACAGGGACTTGATGAGAAGAAGTTTGTTGTCCTGCCCCAGTATTCCAATCGTCATCTTGCTGACTCGTGTGGACAGCTACATCGTGCCAGGACTGGGCGACTTTGGCGACAGGTTCTATACCATGTAGAAGAACGCATACTACAGGTGCTCGGCTGCCATCATGTTTGCTCGTATTCTTCTAATGCGCATAGAATTCAAATTTGCCAGTCCCATTTCCGGTCTCATAATCTCGTGATGTCTTACAGGTGTCCCTTACGGCGTATGTCACGCTTTGCAGAGGCTTCATCGACCATCTGGACCCCGCACAATCATATTAGTATTCATCATCGTCCGCCACAATTCCTTCGTCGTCTCGTTCTTCGATAGGCCTCTCCATTCGCCTAGTGACCAAGCCCTGTGACAAACCACTTGCAACGGCCTTCTGCTTGGACGAGACGTGGTCTGGGTTACGTCAGCCTCCCATATGCGCAAGATTCACAGGTGACCATAGCTTACCAGCAGCATCTACCCACTCGGAATAGACGTCGACAGGGGCTGAGAGATAGTTGATACTGCATTGGAAAGTCTGTCCGCACACTTTGCAGGATAGGTTGCCCACGCCACTTTTCTTGTCAACCTTTGGCTTCACAGCATCTTCATGGTTACAGAAAAGACAAGGGAATAGTTCAGGGAGGGGGTCTTTCTGCATAATCATTAGCAAGTGTACGCAGGGGTCTACCCGTGCATGGTCTGCATCAAAGGCAGTGATGGTTGCTAAACGGGGGGCAAGATGTGGTGCGTGCAGCGTCTTTCTCGATGCTCGAAAGGTTATACACAGGATGACAAACCTTTTTGGGTCCCTGCGGCTTGCTGGAGCTTTTTCTTTTGCCCATGTTGTGTTGGATCTGGTGGGAATTGACAAAGATTCCGGTGTCGACTTCGGTTCGTGGGTTCCTGGGTATGCGCCGGCGTTACTCTTGAGCCGTAGACTTAAGGCGGGCTCTTTGGTGTTTCCTGCTACCGAATAGTGGTGGTGCGGCCTTGGCTGTGCGATGGATGGCAGGTCGTGATGTCGTCGTTGTCGTGCAGGCGAAGTTCCCTGGAGGCTGATGATACCTCCCCAGAGCATCACCCTCCATCGTCTCGCAAAAGCAAATTCTTGTGGGGCAAACTGCAACCTACCTGAATCGTGGGAGTGGCGGCAAAAATACTCATCGCCATTGGCGGGTGTGCACGGTGCATGGCTGCACGTGAGCATAGGCGGTGTGCACACTGACTACAGGGCATACTCGGGATACTTGGCACCTGATTAAGGCACCTTTCAGGTACCTACCTACCTATACGCCTATCTAAGCACTTCAGCCAGCAACTGTGGTGTCCGGGCCCGCCTAGACAAAGGATGTTCACCGGCCCAGGAGGTACCGACACTGGTAGCAGTATTATAAGAGAGAGTTGCTGTCTCGAAATAGGTACCTGAGGGAGCTGCCTCATTGACTCTGGCAGATAAACGCATGTGGCGTAAAGGGTCTTCTGGCCCACCCCCGACAGAGAGACCCGACATGGATAGGGCCCTATCTGAGTACCTGATTTGGCACACAAAGCACACCAGTTGGGGCCCAGATTATCTTCCCACTTAAGGTACCTACCTAAGTAGGCTGGTAGGTTCCTTCGGTTTGTGGGTACATACCGTGCATTTATCTGTCAGTGCCGGGGTCTTATCACCCAGGTCCCCCGCATTTCGCGTCTCCGAAGGCTCCCGTGCCCCAGCACCCGGCCTATCCCATGCACATCGATGGCAACGATCCTGGCCCCTTCCACCCTTCCTCACGTACGTGTAGCGTGTTTCGGACGACACGGATAGTTGGCTTGCGTTTCTCCGCTCTCCACGATTGGTCGCCCCTTGTGCAGCTGGGCCACTCACCGACCATTCATGGCCTCCTGTAGGTCTATTGTGAGATCGGGTCCAAGCCGCGAATTGGCCCCTTGTTCCTATCACGAGGAGCATGAGAGCAGCTGGCTAGTCCAGATCAGCCGCGACGGCGCATGCCGTCGGCCGGGTGCGTCCTGCCTTCCACTTATCTGCCAGCATTTCGTATACGTACATGAATGATGCTGCCTTATCTGGGCGTACTGGCCCCGTCTACTGTGCTGCTGGTTGGAGACTGCTTTGTTAGGATCAGTCGGGCATCCTCGCGTCAGGACTTGACTACTCATCCTGCCTTCGCCTCACCGCATATAACCTGTGCTGTTCAACAAGGATTGAACCATATTCTTTCAATTCTACCTATACTGCTTCTCATTGACACGCGAGCTGAAGCCCTTTCTGAGCAACAAATCTGCGCTGGACACGTAACTCTAAGCCTCAAACTCAACATGTCTGACCCATCTGCGTCGGCCATAACTGACCATGTTGGTCTGGGCGACGTGCTCAGTACGCTCAAATCGATCCAGCTGACCCAGGCCAGCCTGGTCACCGCCGTCGAATCTCTCTCACGTACAGTCCCGCAGGCGGCCACCGGAGCAACCATCGACGCCCGGTCAGCCGGTCCGAATGATCTGGATCAGAGTCTCGACAGCAACAATGTCGCTGATCTGCGGGCCTCGCAACATCATGTTGCAACTTCTGAGGGTCCGGAACTGCAAGCACCTGCCGTACCGTCATCGCCTGAGCAGCGATCTGGCTTCACTTCCCGGATTGTCTTAACGTGAGTTGGGTGGTGCTTTCGATGCTAAGTCGCGGGTTCAGGATGCTTAGTAGGCAACGGCTGCTAAATATTACCACAGCACGTATCCCAACAGAGTGGCATCGATCCTCTTCCCCTGAGATGGGGACACTCTGATCCTCTCATACGAGGGCCAGTTGTCGTTCCCGGATGTCTTCGACCCTCAGACGCCGGAACGGTAAGAATGTGTAGCCTCTCTCATGCTCTATCTTTGACTGA